CGGCAGGCGTGGCCGGGCGGCGCGCGCGTGCCGGCGCAGGCGTCCAGCGCCAGCGACGCGCCGGCCAGCTGCAGCGCCGGCTCCAGGCACAGCGGCGCGGGCGCGGGGTTGTGCAGGCGCAGCGCCACGCGCCGCGTGGACGACGTGCCGACGGCGCCCAGGCGCAGCGCCCCGTCCTCCGAGTTGGGCCACTCCCACTCCTGCACACGCCACGGCTCGTTACGTCCTAGCGACCGAGGTCTGACTGTCTATCGCTCCGACGTCCGCCACGGTTAGAAGTGTGTGTACCTAGTGTGTCTTCGCAACTTGTGGTTATATCATTAATAATATTCAGTGTCCGACCGAAGCTCACATGAAACATGTTACATTGAAGGCAATTGAAGTAAAAATCGGTGTGTCTCACACAGATCATAGGAAGGCATCAGATAGACCATGACAATAAAATGAAATAAACAGATGCGACAATATGTGTATAATTCGCTCGGGTAGTCGTCATTACCGGAGCATGGTCGTAGGGCCGGACAAGACACTCACGAGTCGCAGCCGGCCGCTGTACAGCAGTAGCGGCAGCGAGTAGTCCGTGACGTTGGTGGCCACGTGCAGGCGCTCGGCCAGCGACTCGGGCGCCCCGGGCGCCAGCGCCGCCGCCCGCAGGCGCACGCGGGCCAGCAGGCCGTCCGCGCCCGGCGCCAGCTCGAGCGGCGCCAGCGACTCCACCTCCCAGTAGCGCGCGCCCGAGGGCGCCAGCTCCAGCCGAGTGACGTGCACGCCCACGGGGAATTCGTTGCGCACGCGCACCTCGCGCTGTCGCAGCGCGTCCTCTCGGTTGGCAGTCACGAAGCTGCGATACAGGCACGATGTTACTGTACGCGACGTGCACTCAACACAAGTAATAGTGACGAACCACTCTTCATAATTATTAGTTCAGTATATTAGTTAGTTGTTGCGACGTCGGCCGGCAAGAATATGATTCCTGGTTTATCTCATGTATCTATCACCTAAGTCGGCTCACAATAAATTTCATCGAAATCCGTTCAGTAATTTCAGCGTGATTGACAGACAAACATACATACATTCAAACAAAGAAACTTTCACATTTATAATATACTAGCGACCCGCCCCGGCTTCGCACGGGTGCAATATGTATATACATACAAACCTTCCTTAAGAATCACTCTATCTATTAAAAAAAACCGCATCAAAATCCGTTGCGTAGTTTTAAAGATCTAAGCATACATACGGACATACAGCGAAAGCGACTTTGTTTTATACTATGTATTGAT